TAGACGACTGGGCCACCCGTGCCCTCTTGTTGCAATGAATGTAGTATTTCGATTCAAGTTTGCTCTTGATATCAATCACTGGCTTTGCTGATCCAGATTCGATTACCTTCATGTTGCCATCATAAAGCTGAAGTATTGTTCCCTGCGAGACAAACCAAACCAGCATCTATAAAGAAAATGTGTCCTGTTATCGCATAAGCATGCAATCAGAAGTTAATGTCACAGTGTCAAGGTGATGGTTACCATACTATGTCTCATATGTATGTTGATAGTGTGGCAGATAGCAGATCATCAATATTTGACTGTAAGCATTGTCCCATATGTGTGATATTGTGTCAGAGCGCAGATCATTGATCTGCGCGTGACAGGCATTGTCTCATGTGTGTGTTATAATGTGTCAGAGGGAATATCATCAATCTGTGCGAGACAAACATTGTTTCAAATATGTGTCGATATTGCGGCAGAGATCAGACGGCCTCAGGTTGATTTCTCAACAATTATGATTCATCCCGTGAAGCCCATGACCACCATATGACCAAATTCTTGTTTTGGCAAAACTTTTACAAAGATCAGAAACTTCTAAGGATGACCCGTAAGCACGCTGTTTGGCAGAGAACAGGTACACCATTAGCTGTGGCAAATCCTTAAAAGAAGGAGATGGCCGCTCTTCTTTAAAATTACAGCGAAACATTGCTAAATGTCAAATTGGACTTTCATAATGCATGAATAAAACCGGCAAATAAACATATTTCCAGTACCAAATCGGCAACCCAACAATGAACATCGATTATCTCTTTGACATTTGTCAGAAACATGGCAGTATTGGACTCCCTAGAAAGGCAACATGTTTCAACAGGAAGTAGGCATCCCCATAGGCACAAACGGTGCTTCCATCCTTGCTGATCTGTTTCTTTATGCATAAGAATAAATTCAAATTGGCAAGGGAATTTGGACAAAAAGTTTAACTTAAGCCTCTGGAAAAGTGCCGTGCAAAAGAAAGTATACACCTATGTTTGATGGTGGCTAAAACAAACAAAAACAATAAATCCAAATTCGATGGTGATGTATGTGATATTGGTATCTTAGTTTGGTTTGTTTGCCTGTTCAGTGTTGGATATCTTGGGCATGCCAGGAACGTATGATTTTGGGTTCGAATCATGGTTTGTCCCGATCATGCTTCTAGGTTTGCCAGGACCAAACCCATGTTCACGGATGTCACCAAGGTGATAAACATCTGAGACCTGCATCACTTCCGGCTTTGTCCTCATACTAAATTGGTTACAATATTCAAAGCATTAGTAAATCTTTCAGAAAGTGTTATGGTAGACATGTGGAGATTTTTCCATATGTGTCCTATGAGTGACCAAAATGTTGTGCGATGTAATGCCATATTTGACCTGTACCATGTGTTTTTTTAATGAACAATTGACTTGCCTTAATCATACAATGGACTTTGGATTCTGATCTAAAGTGAACAATTAGCGTACTCTTCTCCACCATTCTGTTTTTCACAATACTCTGAAAGCAATGCATTTCGGTAGACAATGATGACTGGTTGTTCACTCTCGATGACGTTTTATATTATGATCATAAAAATGGTTTCGTCACTTTCATTTTTGTGTAGGTATTAAAACATTGTATATAATGACACAGAGTGATCCCTTCAGAATAATAATTGAAATATACAAAGAAAAACGTTAAGCACACCCTCATATTTCATTATTGTTTGATCCCAATGTTTGTAACAGTCATGAAAGATATAATTACGGGAAGAATTGTTTTCTCGAGATGATGTAATCATTCATGCGTGACGAAGGCTCACGTGCCATGCATGATATGCCTGTGAATCATGCTACCCTCGAGTATCTCTAAAAGCAGTATATCCAAACGTTAAAATTGCTTTCTTAAGCTCGGTTTTAAACAGTCATTGTGTGACCATGGAATGAAGGCCAATATCAAACGCCACAAGATGGCAAATACTCGGCATGCATAGCGTAGAAATGTCTTCTAATGCCATTGGTCAGAATTAAGGGTATCATCACACTGTGGTAAGCCGTTTAGTCAAGAAACATGCTCAGACCTGTGATGTTGTGACCCTCACAGATCCGGAAGACCTCCTGCGACGACACCTCGCGACACACCTTCTTCGTCTCATACGCCAAGAACCCTTTTTAACAAATACTTGTCTGAAACAGCTGTGGTTGCTCAATTGTCATTTCAGCACCAGAACCGTCAGGAATCGGCTGAAAGCAGCAGGACTAGACGAGTCATAAAGCGTCCCTTGTTAAGAGATCACCACAATCCTGCTTGTTTAGCATGGTGTATAGAACTGGAATCTGAGAACTTGGAGACGGATCCATTGGTCAGACGAAAGTTGCATTCTGCTCCACGTCACTGATGGAAGGACAAGATTTTGGAGGCACCGGCACACAGCCTACACCCCCATGAACATTAAACCGACTGTTGCATACGGCAGGGCCTCGGTAATGGTTTGGGGGTGTATCTCTCATGATTGCAGGTTGGATTTGGTCACCATAAGGAGCAACTTAACAGGGGCTCAGTACTTCCGGGACGTTTTGAGGCCAGTCGTCGTTCCTCATTTTGACAACCACCCTCTTGCTACTCGACCTCAGTACATGGATGACAATGCATGTCCGCATGCATTCGTGGATTATATGAGGGCTATTGCAGTAACGACTCTACCCCGGCCAGCAATGAGCCCAGATTGAACCCCCTTGAACATGTTTGGGATATTCTGGGGCGGCGCATACAGGCACGAGATCCTCCTCTACAAGATTTACGCCAATTGGAAGCAGCATTGCATCAGGAGTGGTTGCAACAGATCCAACGTCTCACTGGAGGCATGAGACGTAGGGTGAAATGCGTCATCCGGGCACGTGGCGTTTATACCTGCTACTCATCTGTTTTACGTGACATGTCAAGAAGAGACTTTAAGGAACATTTTCACATGAAACATCAAACGTTACTTGTTTACTTAATCCTGCAGCTCCATACTTTTTTGAGGTATTGTCTGAGATCAAAAACAGTACCTGTGTTACCGTGATGTTTTTCGCCCAGCTCCTGTAGTCAAGTCATCCAATGCCGTGATTATTGGCATTTGTCATGGTTCAGAAATAGGGGTGTGCTTAACTATTTTCTTTGCGTATAGTTCTCAAAATATTTGTTTGGTCATATTATCTGAAGACAGGAAAAGGTACATGTATTTACGAGATTCCATCTTGTGATATGTAACGCTTATGTCTTCAAACTTTCCATGCCATAATTTAAGAAAAACGGAATAAATAACTATAAAGTAGACATGCTTCGGAGCGTTGGTTTTAACCTATTGGACGAAGCCTTCGGTTTCGTTCGCGAGTATTTTGTGTGAAGCCCAGTTTGGTGTCTTGCACAATATTTACACATTGCACCTTGCATCAGTTTCCAGGGAATCAAATTCATACTTTCTGATGCCGCAATTCGCTATGCAGAGTTGCATCCCTTGGGCACGCCAGAAACCTATGATTGTGGGTTCGAATCCCGAATCGCCCAAATTATGTATCTAGGTTTGTCAGCACCATAAAAATGATGGATTTCGATTTCCAAGAAATTACCTCTCACAAAATTCCAAGAATTGACAGTCAGTCCAAATAGTATACAACAGGTTGGCAAAAATTACAACATCTGTCTTTGGACTAAGTTTGGAGTGTTATTTGTCAACTTCTTTTGACTACTCACGACTATGGTGTTTTTAATATTGAACTTTAGTAATAATTGTTGCAAGAGAGCACTGTTTTCAAAGCGTTGTTGCCATCATGGTAGAATGGAGATAAACCTACTGTGTTTTGAAATTTGATGTAAATCACTCTGTTCAAAACCAAAATAAAGAGGTATCTACTCTACAGTGGGACTACAACAAATTTCAAAACACAGTGGGTTTATCTCCTAAATGTCTGCGGGGATGAATTGTATGATGATGCTGCAACATGAGTTGTTTAGTAGTGATGCTCTGAACCTCTACAATACAATGATGCTTGCATTACTACAATGGAAAAATGAAAATTGAAATACTCTCTCCATGTCAAACATTTTTTCTTGTGAGTCTTGCCATCCCGTCTGCAGTTCATGTTACTACACAATGCCTATTACAGCTGTATATTAATTGAACACTGATATATTCTTCAGGTGAGAAATAATGCAAGTATATGTACTTTGAATTATACAAAATTCAATGAAACTTAACTCCACTTAAGAAAAAAACAACGATACAATACAATAATCCCATAGCTGTGTTATTTCACTGCAATGTTTTATTGTTCAATCAACGACCACGAGTCGTTTATTTCTTTTATAAGATATCAACATTTTGTACAGCCCTTTTCAGGATATCAATAAAATCTGCATGATTTAAAAAATATATTTACCAGTATTTAAATTATGATACAATGATAATTATGATATGGCAATGCTGGGCAAATCCTTTTTATGAATAGGGGATTGGTTGGTTTCTTGTTTAACGCTGCACTCAGCAATATCTCAGCTATATGATGGTGGTCTGTAAATAATCAGGTCTGGACCAGACAATCCAGTGATTAATATCATGAGAATCGATCCAAACAATTGGGATTGATGACATGCATCAGCCAAGTCAGCAAGCCTGGCCAGCCGATCCCGTTAGTCTCCTTTTACGACAAGCATAGTCATGATGTCGATTGCTGGATTGTCTGGTTCAGACTCGATTATTTACAGACCATATAGCTGATACATTGCTGAGTGCGGCGTTAAACAACAAACAAACAAACAAACATCAAGACACGACAAGCCTTTTGTTTGACGTTTAAATTTTGCTGAAAGAGCAGAAGGGAACTCTGATTAGCCTTACAAACCTCCCCTTATCATCCACTGTGTCTAATCTGACGTCAATTATGTTTTTAGATTACCTGGCAACTGACAAGTGTTGCTTTCACATGTAGATTACAACCTTGAATAAAACATTTAAAAGCCCATGTTGGTGAACTGAAAAAGCATAATTACATTGCAGAATGCTGCTACTGGTTTTGTGCACCTTGCTGCTGTTTGGAGTGGTGTTCCCGGACACAACAATCACCATCCACAACGAGTGGCTCTCTCAGGGTGGACGGGTCCATTATGAAGTTGAAAGATGGAACAAACACAATGGGTTCACCCACTCGAACCTAATTCAAAAGTGTAAATCTATCGGAACGGCTGCCGGGCGTTGGATTCACGTAGACCTGAGCAATAATCTGTTTGCAAATGTAAGTATGTCATAAAACAGATTTTGCATACAGAAAACATTTTGATTTGAATTTAAAGTCATCGTATGTTTAAATGAACCTATGAGTTGATGGGTATTTTGTTATGAGCCCCATACCCCTTCCTAACTTAAAAAAGGGAATCAGACGGTGAAAGCTAGGTTCTAATGTATTATCGCGCTCACCGTTGCTCATACTTTCAAATACTGGTTTCTCATGTCCAGCTCAAAGTATCAAATGTTTCCCATTGGGGGTGCTGGTTTGGAGGGGTGGGTGGGAGGTGGGCGTTAGCGTGGATGTGTATGTGTAGCCTCAATTTTTCTCCACTCAAATCATTTTGCAATAGAATACATCTTTTTTTTACAGTTTGAAGCAACATTTCTAGCCAAATCCAAACCATATTATTTTATGTTATTCAGTGGCATCAAAGCCCTAGTCACCATGGCTACCCAGACCCCGCCTATCTCCAGGACCATTCACTCCAGTCGAGGACATGGGCGTCGTATATGATACAACTTAATAGCTACGGGAATGTCATTGACAACATGGTCTGGGAATTGAAAGGTTCCATAAAACTACACATTAAGAGAAATATATATTTTGAAACAAAACTAAAAGCAGTTACGGAACGGTCGTTCTGGTGTCTGACACTCCACAGCTCATTGCGTTGAGTCCTTTAAACAGTAATTACAGTTCCATTGGTCATTGGGCCGAATAACATTTTGCCTCAGATATCACTATCAACACAATATCAATGATTTCATATTTTACCCAAAGTTGTAAATGTCTACAGCTTGAAATATCCACACACACACTCAGTTTCGTATAACACAGTTCAACACAGGGTGAATTTATATGACTCAAATGTTTCTTACGTTACTTCTTTACAGATCTGACGTGGCCCGACTGGATGGATAAGTCTCATCATCAAGGTACATTCCCAAACAACCTTGATGCTGCATCCGAGTTTGTGTCGCTGATGGTCCAGAGTGCCAAGGACTACACAGGCGGACGCATTCCCCACATATTTGAAGTAATCAATGAACCTGATTGGGTGGAGAAGATTATTGACCCACAAACGAATATAGACTTCCACAAAGTCGTCGCCCAAAAGCTCAAATCAAGATTTGGAATGAAAGTTGCCGGACCTACGTACACCAGTATGGCCTTAAGAAAATCTGACGAAAATGACTTCAGCAACTGGAAAAGAACTGCAAAGTTTATGGACATGTCTCTTGATCACTTGGACTTTTTCTCTTTCCATGCCTACAACTACCTGCGTGTATCGGGTGGAAGTCACACCGTCTTTGGCATCAACGAAGCTCGCCTGGTTGCATCAATTGACATGGTGGAGAATTACTCTCATCTCAAGAAAGGAAAAAATGTACCATTAATTATCAGTGAATTTGGAAGAGGCAACGTGTTTGGAGTTTCCTCCAATTTTACAAATGGAATGACAGACTTTGAAACCATTTATCAACCAAACGGCTTCATGTTTACTTTCCTTAACTTGAGAGAGTTTATTGAAAGAGCCATAGTGTTTCTCCTCTCAAATAATGATAAAAACCTTCGAAGTTCCTTGTTCACCAAGGATGGTCATCCGCTTCAAATGACGAAATTCTTCACGTTTTGGCAAAATTTTATTTATGATCAAAAGTTTCTCCGAGTCTCAAGTCAATACAGTGGACAAGAAAGAATGGTTGTGCCACTTGCCCTGGCAAACCCTCACACCAAAGAGATGGTAGTTCTTCTACACAACTATGGCAGTAAATGGCAGAATGTTAAACTTGACTTCCCCAGCAGCTGGATCAACCCTTCTACAGGTGATGAAACATGTATTCTGTTCGAACATGGTAATCCAGCTGTTCATCCCAATAAGCATTTCAACATGTCTAAGCCTTATGGCACTGTTGGTCTCCCTGGGTCATCCACCTGCTTCTACAAGTTTAAAACCAACTACAACTTTCCCAGAATACGCACAAACAACCAGAACACATACTATGGCAAGGACATGATCATCCCCATCAGCAACGGACATGCGCAGACCACCATCCATCTCCCCAGCTCTGGATACCATACCTCACATCTTAGAGTAGGTGTTAGCCGAGACAAGAACGCCAATACAAAGCCCCACAAAGTTGTGTTCAATGGCCAGACGCTATCTTCAAGCTACATGTTGTTTGATGCTATGAAGGTTGAGGGGACAACAAAATGGAACGTGTGGGAATACATGGTCCCTGCATCACAGGTCAAAACAACAAACACCATCAGCATGACCTTTGATGGAAATGGTGGCCACGTGACATCGGTTGCACTCGTTGTTGGAAAACTTCAGTAGATAAAATTCTCTTTAAGAATATTTTGTTTCTTTTGATTCAAATCCCATATGCCGAATAATTTTCCAAGAGCGGGTCTTATTTAAGAAATATAGTATGTTCTGCTCAAAAGTGTTGTGAAATAAAGTACAATTTTGCTCGGAAGTATTATAGTTAACGAACGAAGACGCTTGCGTGCGAGTGATTTGATGTTATTATTCTTCAGTGCAAAACTATACTTGATTACACGATTACACGATACATGTTTAACGCCGCACTCAGCAATATTCCAGCTATATGACGGCGGTCTGTAAATAATCGAGTCTGGACCAGACAATCCAGTGATTGATATCATGATCATCGATCCACGCAATTGGGATCGATGACATGCATCAACCAAGTCAGCGAGCCTGACCACCTGATCCCGTTAGTCGCCTTTTACGACAAGCATAGTCACCTTTTACAGCAAGCATGGGTTGCTGAAGACCTATTCTACCCCGGAATCTTCACGGGCGGACAGATTTAGGACAACCTTTGTTTCGTATGAACATTCTATTCCAAAGGCTATTTACTGAGATGCAGAATGTAAGATTAACCTTGTGTTTTGTTGGAGATGGTTTAAAATTAAATCTGTAATATGCTGTGCAGTAAATTGAAAATCCTCGAACGGACCTACGTGACCGACCATTCCACCAAATTGCCTAAACCCTAACGCAAAGAGACAGTTTGAACATAATATAAGAGCACTAAGACAGACATACTTTTAGGTGCACCAAATGCCGTCTCGGACAACTTTGTGGCTGCTGTGGCTTGGTCACAGTGGTTTAAATATGTTTGGGAAAACCCTCTGTCATGACAGATGGTTGACATCATCTTGCCATATTTCTTTCAAGGTAGTATTAATCAATTATTCGAAAGGTTTAAAGAAACTATTAAACCAATCTTGTGAGTGAGTGAGTTGGGTTTAACGCCGCTTTTAACAGTATTCCAGTTATATCGCGGCGTGTCAGCTTAATGTGGGAGGAAAGCCGAAGTGATGTAGGTCTCAGATGTTTACCACGTCGGTGAAACCCACGAGCACGGGTATGGTGCTGACAAACCTAGAAACATAATCGGGGCGAACAGGGATTCGAACCCACAATCATAGGTTTCTGGCGAGCCCAAGGGACGCAACTCTGCACAGCGAATCGCGGCGCCTTAGACGACTGGGCCACCCGTGCCCCCACCAATCTAGTGATTAGGTTGCGCCATCGTCTTTGACAGTATTGAAAGGACGATGTTTTATATTTTATTGCAGGATTTTCTTTGATCTTCTGACAAAGCATCTTCGATTAGAGAATACAATTACAGTAAACTACGGTTATAACGAACTCAAAGGGACCACTAATTTTAATTCGTCATAACCGTAGTTCGTTATAAGCAAATGTACGGATTATATACAGCAAATAGACAGGATCAAAAACATAGTTCGTTATATCCGTCAGTTCGTTATAAGCGTGTTCGTTATAACCGTAGTTCACTGTACATTGTAGATATGTTCCTAAGGCACGATACAAACGGGAGGATTTACTCAAACAATTAGCTTGGTATCAGGGTCCAATAAATATTCAAATGAAGTCACCTGGCAGGAATTACATTCAGTGAGCTCAGTACATCGATGTGTTTTTTTATGCTAAAAAACCGCATTACATTCCCCGAACCATAACATGGTAGTTTCCGGATGCGTAAGGCTTTGTTTCTATTCGGTTTCCAAAGTTGCTACAGTGAATATCAATATGTCTTAAAATTCAATATTTTAAACACGACATTGTAAGACAAACAGAGGTTATTATGCAAATGTGTATTCAAATAATAAATATCCCGCATTAGGAATATATATTGCATTTTTGTTTGTTCCTAATTAAGTATATTGTCCATCCTAAAACACAAAAGCATGATAACCTCTTTATCATATAATGCCATAACATTAGGAAAATTCATTTTGTGTGGGACGGTGGTTGGAGGAGAGACAGCAAATTAACAATAACCGAGTGAATTAATTGGTTTTAACGCCGTTTTTAACAGTATTCGTGTTACATCACGGCATGACAGCTTAATTTAGTAGGTTTTTTGCAGGTCTCAGACGTTGATCACTAAGGTGTTGATGGACCTGCAGGTTTTGTAATTACATTTTTGCATGCATTATTGTACGCATTAGACGCTGATTGTTTAGCCCCTGAAACTATTAAATCTTAATTAAACCAAATGGCTTTGTGTGTAAATTGTTCCAAAACAAGTTCTGCATGTTTAATATTTATGCAAAATTTCAAATTCTTCTTTCTTCTTGTCATTTCTCCAGAGGGATATGCCACGGTCGATTCTTGGTTTAGATTTTTAAAAAAAACGTTTTAACAGTTTGACAGCATTCCCTACTGACGAATTATAGGTGCGATTCATATACTATCCCTTTTACAGCCAAGTTTCGGGCAGTTGTTATCTAACCAAAAATCACCTTTTTTACTCGGTTCTGTACAGTATTGTCACACCGACAGATTTAGGACAACCTTTGTTTCGTATGAACGTTCTATTCCAAAGGCTATTTACCCTATAGCCATGACAAGTATATGTCTCCATCATTAAAAGGCCGTTGACCTATTCCCTATTGTTAATCCTTATTTCAATTGCATTAAATATAGAATGTCAGACAACCTGTGCAACGATGTCACTTTTCATTAATTAGTGTCATTTACATTATGATATTTACATTCTTGACCAAATATTCCCTTGGCTGTGCAGGTAATCACGTCTTTAACCCCCATTTCCAGGGCAACGGGAAATGGTCAGTGTCGTCCATTACTAAAGATGTGTTTGTATTTATACTGTTAGTAGTGAGTGAGTGAGTGAGTGAGTATGGTTTTACGCCGCTTTTATCAATATTCCAGCAATATCACGGCGGGGGACACCAGAAATGGGCTTCACACATTGTACCCATGTCGGGAATCGAACCCGGGTCTTCGGCGTGACGAGCGAACGCTTTAACCACTAGGCTATTATACTGTTAGTAAGTCTGGCATTCCGAGCAGGATGTGCAACTTGAAGGAATGAGTTTTTACTCATGTATATGTGAGCTGATCGCTCATCCTTGTTATTGAGATTTCGTAGCAGGTATTTCGTTCATTTTTGTTGTTGTTGATTGTCTATATTGTGTATTGAAGGGGTGTCCTTTGTTAACCCGTAAGTGAGGTGAGGTGAGGTGAAATTGGGTTTAACGTCGCGTCCAAGATTATTGCACTTATATAGCGACGCGCATGCACGTGTGTGTGGATGCTTGTACTAGTCCGGACTGATGCCGATTTATAGTGCTAGCCCACTGAGATACCATGCCGCAGTTAAACATGAATACCCCACTCAGACACAGTATACTGACTCCGAGCCGACCAGTCCTTGTTTTAGCCCGTTAATGCCGAGCGCCAGACAGGGTAACAACAAGTACCATCTTTTAACGTCTTTTTGGTATGAAGCGGCCGGGGAGTAAACACTTGTACAACAGTGTCATCAGCGGACACGACTTGAAACAAATCATGTATGTTCAACAACCAGCCTTGTTTAAACTTTACCTCGAGGGAATAACAATGACGTTACCCTGCTTTTAGCAATATTACAGCAAAATCACAGCAGGGGACACAAGAAATGAGCTCTACTCACTTGTACGAACCTTCGGGCTGACGAACGAACACTTTAATCACTAGAATAACCCAGGGCCCCACTTTACATTGGACAAAGGCGTAAGTAAACTCTTCCGTCAATCACAAGGCTAAACACCTTTGGATATACTACAGCACTAAATATTTTACCATCACCAATGTCTCATTTTTCGTCTCCTATAGCATTTAATATATTTGAAAAAAGTTGAAAAGGAACAGGAACATTCCTAAAACTGTCAGGTGTTAGTTTTTCAGTACATAGTATTTGGAATAGAGACCAGTTGGTCTTTGTAAAGTTCCATCTTGTTGAAGACGGTTCATCAGACGGATTAATATATATGTAAGTATTGTTGGAAAATGGTCACTTCCGCAATGGTCCTCATGGGCGGACCATTCAAATTCATTAAAATTATTTGAATCTGTCAGTGAGAGATCTAGGGCGGAGTATGTGTCAATGGCAGGATGCAGATATGTTTTAATACAATCATTGAAGATGCATAAATTATTGTTTGAGATAAAATCTTCAAGGACTTTTTCCCTTGTTTTTGTTAATTTATTTGATGTTCAACGCTGCACTCAACAATATGCCAGCTATGTGGTAGGGGGCGGTAAATAAGCGAATTTGGACCAGACAATCTGGTGATTGACATCATAAGCATCGATCTACACAATTGGGATCGATGACATGCATCAACCGAGTCAGCGAGCCTGACCACCCGATCCCGTTAGTCGCCTGTTACGACAAGAATAGGTCTTCAGCAACCCATGCTTGCCGTAAAAGGCGACTATGCTTGTCGTAAGGGGCGACTAACGGGATCGGGTGGTCAGGCTCGCTGACTTGGTTGATGCACATCATGGTATCCCAATTGCGTGGATCGATGCTCATGACATTCATCACTGGATTGTCTGTTTCAGACTCGATTATTTACAGACCGCCGTCATATAGCTGGAATATTGCTGAGTGCGGCGTTAAACAACAAACAAAGGCAAAAATGCAGTAAATCGTTTGACAGCTGTGACAGACTGTTGGACAAGCGTTTTTGACTATTCCATCCTCTGCCATGCCGGACAGGCAGCGAACCCTTTCGCGAACAAGCTTCGATAATCAAAAAACGTGGCCAGATTGGTTGGGGGTAGTTTCGTCAGGTTAATTGTCAGATTCTATGTTCCTACGTTTTCAACCAGGGTGTCGGGAAGCCATGTCGAAAGGAACAGATTCAGCACCCCTTTTCCCCACCCACCATGAAGTGTCTACAAGGACAGTCTTATGCTGCAGCGGATCTCCAAGCTACAAAGACCGAAGATGAAGGGGTGGTATACTCCAGCAAATTTTAACTGGAAGAGCTGTTCTTCCAGGCTGG